TCTTTGACACAGAAATCGTTTAATCGACGCTGTAGGTTTAAGTAGGTATAGAAGGTATTGTAAAACGTATATTATATAATATATTGTCAACTGTATAAAAATATTTATAGATTGATGATGGTGCTACGTTTACACGTGATGTGCGTTTTTATACGACGTATGAAAGATTATCGCTATGCTTGTGTCACATGTTTTCTGGCAAATTGCTATTACTTCGAGGGAGACCTCGAAACGACCTTCCAAACACAAGTTCTTTCGTGAGACGAGGGAATTTGTGTTTGGAAGAAAACGCCAATGAAAGCCTTATAGTGTAATTTGTAGGGTGCTCTTTACAACCTTTTTGCTATAAATTTTGTTACTTCATATTCAACATTATGATGATATTAAAATGATAAATGAACAGTCTTTGTCACTGTAAGAAGCTAGTGCAGTCCATTGATACTTGTAAAAACTTCGTACAAAAATAGTAAAATAATAATCTAATATATAAAAATTAATGTTTGTTTGTTCGTATTTTTTTATGCGCTGCCGTACCGTTCATCAGATTGCGGTAAAGATTTGTTAACTTATTGCATGCACTTGCGCGAAGGTTTATAGGCATAGAACAATTAACTTACAGTAGGTAGTTCGCGTGTCGTACCGACAAATTTTCACTCGATTTCAGTGTGTGTGATGTCCAATGTGTCATTCCTAATTAAACAAAATAACTCAGCCAAATTTAAAACGATATTTCTAAAATTACTATTTCTTCTGTGGCAGCAACTCGTCGGGTACCAGCTAGTCTCTAATAAATATCAAGTATAAAATGCCAATCTTAAAGAGTTAATTTAAAAATAAATTGAAGTAATTAAAGTACAATAATATTAATTTAACCTATCCCTATCACCTATCAACAAAATCAAAATATGACAACATAGTAGATAATGTTCTGGCACCCTACTGATGGGTGTCATGAACAGAGCGTGATAGTCGATTAGAGTTAATTAATAGGGATCATTTCGGTAATAAATTACTACTACTGAGAACATTGGAGTAATAATATATTAATCATGTTTTTCTCTTATTGTAGTATTTAATATACGAGTACAATCCATGGTATAAATCAATATTGTGATTAATTTGTTGTATTACTCAGTAATATTACGAAGAAGACAGACAAAGAGGTAAGTAATTAAGACTTGCTATTATTAAAGAAAAATTAAAATATAAAAATAGGAATATTTTTCAAATGTGTTGGTATATTCAGCAGTGCACTGTGTTGAAGGACTAGATAATAGACTAGATGTAATGATGAGAACTATATCAGTGATCTTAAAACAATATTTATTCTATATTCATTATTCTCATTTTTAAAAGCTTTAGGGACTTTTCTGGTATCTCATGTTAAATAGTTATATATATATATATATATACTAGCTGTTCTCAGCGACTTCGCCCGCGTGTGTTTTAGGGTTTTAATTATGTTGCGCGGAACCCTAATTATTTTTCTAAAATATAAGTAACCTACGTTACTCCTTATAACATCAGCTATCTGCCAGTGAAAGTCCCGTCGTAATCGGTCCAGCCGTTACGGAGATTAGCCGGAACAAACATACGGACAGAAAGACAGTCCGACAGACAGACAAAAATTAAAGTACTGTAAGTAAAAATTATAAGTACCGTATATACTTTCATATGGATTTAGTAAAAAGCTGGTATTATGACATTAAAAACAGACACTTCAATTTTATTTATTTGTACAGATATATTGGCATTGGCCTACAATAAATATGTTATATATGTATGATACAAATACGTTATACAATAAGCAGATAAAAGATTACAATGAGTTATTCAAATAAGTTAAACATGATGTGGACATTTTTTTTTAATTATTCAGTTTATTAAATTGTTTACAAATTCCAGTAGCTTTTGCACATTTTGTTGTTAAGCTTGGTCAACTATAGGGACACAACCAACAAAGGGAAAACAGACAACCTTTATAACTCATTAGAGTGGGGTTCAATCAACTTGCGTGACGTGACTGAGGAAAAGCCATGCTGTAAATACAGTGCAGTCATTACTGGAAGAGGGAGAGCTGAAAATATTTTGCACGTCTTGTAGAATTAGCATTCGGGACGCGATTACTTAAAGGAATTTGCCTTCTTTCTTTCAGAAATAAAGGCGTAACATTTTAATACCTATCACGCTTTAGAATATTAATGACAACATTAATATCTTTAGCAATAAGCCTTAAGAAGTAACTTTGTTAATATTTAAAAAGATTCAGGTGTATCGTGATTTTAGGTTACACAGTTTATCATTCTATTATTAAAAAAAAAATATAACGCACGATTAGTTATAGCCGGATGAAACTATACGGTCGTTTTTCTCCACTCATGTACCAACTGCACGTAAAACCCGGACTTTAAAAGAATTATTTAGAGCATGGGAAGATTATCTTGAAATCAGCAATATATTATCATTACTACTTCATAATCACACAGGTGATGTGGGTACAATTGAACAAATGCAAGCTGTTATGTAATATAATTCATATGCAAGGTTTCCAGATAGTTAAAATAGCAACTTGCACTCGTCTCATCAGCAATGAGACAGGCCCAGGCAGGGGTCTCTTCTTATTTTTAAGAGGGCTTTAGAGAAAATTAATAACTAATTTAATTGCTTGTTAATATTGTAAAAAGGAAATTGTGCTGGAATTTCGGATAGATGGTGACTGTGATACTAATAAGCCAGCTCTATAATTTTTTAAAAGATTGCCGTTTCCCATTGCTTTGGAAGAGATTTTATCAAGCAGACTCAGATGAAAAATCCTGAAAGTCTAGTTAATGATAACCCTACGAGAAATTACTTTATTTGGGAATAATAATCCACATCACCACTCACTGGTCAGATGTATGTGGCAATGTGCACTTTCCTTTCTCATTAAGGTTATGCTTTTAAATTAAAATTCGCTGCGCCGCGATTAAACACTTAATATAACAGGAGGATAATGTTTGTTATTGAATAACAAAGCACAGCTATCGTACTTTACAAAATTTGTAGATTAGTAACGAAAGAAGTACCTAGGTAGCTCAGGTGGTAATAGTCCGCATAATATCCGAGCAACGTTAGTTTGATTCTCTTTTCTTGAAATTGCTAATAGTACTTCTGAAGTTTAACTTACCACTTGCACGATGGTGCGGGAAAACACAGTGAGAAGAACTTTTATTTATTAAGACTAAAAGTAAATAAAATTAGTCTATCAAAAATCAGTTGGCATAGTAGAAATTGGCAGCATCGTCTACATTTTCATAAATCAAAATAATAAAATTCTACCTGACAACCGTGTTACGATGGGACACATACTCATTCCTATAAGGATATCTATGAGGGAAGACTATGTTCGATGTCCTAACTCTATATATCAAAATGTACGTCACGGTAACGTACGTTAATGTAATGTTACGGTTGCTTGTTGTTATAAATTCTTAAGCTCTGGTTTCCTAAGATTGCGGTGGTCATACAGCGGCCGCAAAAAGCCGGCCGTCTGTACGGAGCTAGCATGTGGAAAATTCTATGACCGCTACGGCCATCTTTTTTCAAACAAAACGTTAGCAACGTATCCGATGCAGGCGAAAATGGACGTGCTTGATTTAGATTTAGAAGGAAATAATCGAACAAGATGATTTATTCAAAGCTCGTGATACAGAAGGTGCATTTTAGATTTTAGTGCGTCGCCGTCTACGGTAAATAGATGAAAAATCCGGGAAATATATTAGCTTAATATTAGCTTCATTTAATTAGGCACTTAATTACATAAGAAATGAGAAAAGAAGAGAAGAGATTTAAAATTTTCTTTCACACCACAAATTCTTTACCTGGGCCTGCATGTATTCCTCACTTTCATATTGTAAACAGCGTCATGATTACGCACAAAATCTATTAAAATTCGTAGTACTCGTTGCTCCACTGCTCTTGTTGTAGTTAGGACTCATTTTGTTTATCGTCACCGGTCACCGCTATCGCAACAAACATTCATGAACTATCCGGCATCGTCAAAATGAACGTCACGCAAATAGCGGCAAAACTTTTTGACGTTTCGGCGTCAAATGCCGCTGTCTAGAAAACCACCCTATTTTGTTTACATAAACAACGTTATAGTGTTATTCACCGCTTTATACGTTCATACGTCATGTAGCGGCACCGCAATCCTAGGAAACCAGGGCTTAAGTCTAAGTTATTCCATCCAGAAGTAATTAACAAACATTGACATAGATCAACAGCAATACAACACATATAAAAAAAAGAAAACCACAACTCGCCCTTTGCAAAGCTGTTGTCGGATGAAAGTAAGGGTTAATATCGGCAGAGCTCGTAAGCAACATTATGTTAGATGCTCCATCATAATTAGTTTAGAGGTTTGTCATTATACGTATGTATCCGGACAAAAAGACCTGCTGTCCAGCTGCTACAATAAATATGTAATCTTATATATTTTTTCTAACAGTTTTGTTTCTTCGTAGCATTAGAGTGAAAGTCCTATCCAAATCCGTTTTCAAGTCATTGTGTGATGCGAAACATACAGACAGACAGACAAATTTCGTGGTAGCAGTAGTTTAGAATACAAACGTTTAGAATAATTAATAGAATCAGGCGTTACTTTGCGGAAATCCATTATATTAAAGTTGGTAGGCAAGGTAATTTTTACCAACTTTAATTTAAATGTTTATATTATTATTGTTATTCACAGAGACAGAAAAACAGATACAAAAATTATTGTTTTGGCATCGATATCGTGAGTTATATTATCGATACCGAAAAACAACTTCAACTTTGATAAAAACTTTAAACAATACTCAAAGCCCAAAATTTAGTTATATAATAGTATATAAAATAAAGTTTCACCTCGAATAAAAATATGAAAGCTAGTAAAGTTATTGTAGACATGTAACAATATAATAACTATTGATTATACTGTTGAAAATAAAATGTGGAAGGTGCTAAAGATTCCAACTTACCGTCATGAGAATCGTAGACGTAGATGACATTTTTCCATCCGTAGTACGTGATAGTATCAATCACAGCTCGATGGTAATCCGGGCGTAGGCTCACGGCATAATCTATCAGGCCTGATGAAGGCGGAATAACCTGCGGAATCAAAACAGTACATAACAAATGTAATCATTGAATAAAAATATAAAATTGAAACAACGAAATGTTTGTGTGTGTGTGTGTGTGTGTGTGTGTTGTGTGCGTGCGTGCGTGCGTGTGTGTGTGTGTTGTGTGCGTGTGTGTGTGTGTGTGTGTGTGTGTTGTGTGCGTGTGCGTGTGTGCGTGCGTGCGTGCGTGTGTGTAATACAGTAGTTGAGAAACCTTAATGGAAGGAATTCCGGAATGGAATTTTATGTGAATGATATTAATAAATAAATGCAGAGTAAATGTGAAGGTAAAAGTTTATAGCATAGATAAATATTGTCTTCATTCCGAATAAGAATAATGTGATTACGGCAATGTCAATGCATTCTCATCTCTGGTACGATGTAGATACTAATGAATAACGTGAATATCTCTTGTAATTGAATTTTATTCGGCCTCCATGCTATATTTTACGAGGAGGGGAAAATGAATATGCGGCACACCAGATGATACGTGTCGACCGTCACTCATGAAAAATTGCAACAGCAGGGAAATGTGGGTGCGTTACCGGCCTTTCAAAAAGGAATAAACTCGTTTCTTGAAGGCTCCTTAGTCGTATTGGTCTGGAAAATCGACGGTAGTAAACAATTTCACAAAAAAGTCGTACGAGGAAAAAATTCCTAGTAAATCACACAGTGGTGGACTTTCAAGCATCCAGATTGTGTAGAATTTGGCGGCTGGAATTAATCCGGACATTTCCGGAGCACTCCCCGAGTTAAATTCAATAAAAAATGCAAAGGAATGCAACATGTCTTTGTAAATGGAAAGAGCTGGCATTGCGGTATCTCAACCCAGAGATGAGAACAGTATTCCATGTAAGGCCAAACCTGCGCCTTGTAAGATTGCAAGTGGTGTGCCGGTATGAAATAATGTCCCGCTCTGCTATGCAACGCTAAAAAGAGGTTAATTTAGCAGTAAATCACAAATTAGTGCCTTCTGAAGGTTAAACCGGACTAGATTTACCCGTCTCCAATCCGAGACTTTATTAACAAAGACTCGACATCAGACACAAGTTTGTCCCAATACTCAACGACGTGCTGTCACCCGCATAACATCGAATGTTACTGGTTTACAGCGTAGGTACACGCAGCCTTGTGGAACACCAGCAATAAAAGGCTTTTAGTCGGAGCATGTATCATCTACTACAATCTTGATGCTACGATCTGCAAGAAAACGGGTGATCCAATTGCACAATTTCTCGAAAGAATGGAAAGGAAAGGAAGGAATTAAATGAATCTAATTGTTACGTTTTACGTACGTAAAATCATCCTAATTTCAATAGAGAAAATGGATAGATGCTGCCATCTGCTTGGGATCCAATAATTAATAAAATAAAATCCAAACCCAAGCATACCACTGCAAGACTTCAAGATACTGTAAGCTCATTCTGCGTAGATCGGACCAAAATTTATATTCAAAAACTGTTGGTAGCCGTACTAACTATGACATCGGGACGTCCAAAACTTCAGTCCCCCGGTGACCATGGGTGCTATAAAGCACCCGAATGTCGGGAATTACAAAGTTAAATTAAACGCGACAAAATACGTAAAAATTAGTTGCATTTAATTGTAAAATTTTGTCAACGGTTACAACAATGTATGTAATATATTTTCGAAGAAATGTCATCCCTTGTATACTTGCAAAGGGATCAATGAACTACGTATGAGATGGAAAAAGTGCATAGATAACAACGGTGCATACTTTGATTAATTAAATATATTTTACAATATAAAATTGACTTTATATTCCTCCCGTACAAAACGCCAATTTTATATTTAAAGACCTAATATTATAGAAGATAAATTTTGGCAACAAACAATATATATTGTAATCAGTAAACTACCCCAAATTTATATATTTAAATTCACATTTGAAGCTTTTATGGGTACAAGCATTTTAATGTTTACCAGGAAAAATGAGGAAATAACTTTTATATAAGATTCAAGTAAGGAAAAACACTGGAAGGAAACTTAAAATATCTTTAAATTTTTTTGGTTTACGACAGCTAGTTAAAAAGAAAGCTTCTTGAGTACATTTTTATTATTCCGAAAGACAAATTTAAGGTACAAAATTACATATTTCAAAGAAATGTCACCCTATAAAGGGTACATTCGCACATAATGATTTTAAAGTGCTGTCGCAGAATTAAAAAAAAAAAACTCCCAGATGAGACTTGTTCCAAGGAATGCTTTTTTCTTTGTTCTTAACAGGACTAATATTCGAAGGACTTTGAATTAGCAAGGGAGATGTGGGCATTTCTATAGATAAAGCTCATAACCGGGAATTGTCTGGTTGACTTCAGGAAACAAAAGAAATACTTTTATTGTTTGTTCGGAGTACTGGTGGTTGAATTGCGCACTTACTTCCAGTAATGTAGTAACATTTTTTCATCATCCCATTTTTCTTTTATAAATAATGAGTAGTCTGTTTTATGGCTTAGAATTTTTTTTGATATAATATGTATGTATTTTATACTTAAGATTTAAGACATTATAATTTAAACGGAATCGCATCCGTAATTTCAAAATAGTTTGGAAAATCCAAAAGTGCACATTTCATTTAATTTTGTTGAAATAAAATAAATTGTATTCCTGACTTTTAAAACATAATATTTACGTATATTAAATGCTTAATGCCCTATTATTTTAGCAGGTAGTGTTACCTATAGAGGAAAAAGTAATAATGTTTACCAAAATAAACCGATTACACAGAGTATAAAATCGATATTGGCTGTATGGCACATTTGTCCTTTGTTTATAAAATGTTAAAAAATATATGACAGCCCCTTAAAATTTTTAATAGCAATAAAACTTATATAAATAAAAATCTTGTTATTAACAAACTACGCATACTAGGCTATTGATACGAAATACGAAATCAGTTGATGTAATTCTAAAGCTAATAAAAAAATACCCGATCTCGATACGTCAATTTTTTCGGATGTTATCGTGACCACATACAAAACATCCGGATTTTGCATTTCCACGTAAAACTTTTTTCAAATCGTTTTTTTTTTCAAAGTAGCAATTTAAAATGATTTTTTAGAAAATATAAGATGGATTAATTACAGTGTTTTATACGTCTACTCAAATTATCGTAAAAGTGCAATATAATTATGATAGAAGCATTATAGATAGATAGAAGAACACAAAATTGCTTGAACTTGACGTGTCGATAGAACACACCGTTATACTCTTCGCGTTATGAGCGTACAATAGAAATGTAGGTATATTCGTGCACAATATATAAAAAAAAATCCGGAAGAGAAAGCAAAGGTGTAAAACGTGCTGTTACGTAACTTTTACAGGTAAACTGATTTGTAATTGAGTTGCTATAATTATCGTAAACTCATAATTTTTAGAAATAAAGAATAATATAACTTTTAAAACGTAACTTTTACAGGTAAACTGATTTGTAATTGAGTTGCTATAATTATCGTAAACTCATAATTTTTAGAAATAAAGAATAATATAACTTTTAAAACGTAACTTTTACAGGTAAACTGATTTGTAATTGAGGTGTTATAATTATCGTAAACTCATAATTTATAGAAATAAAGAATAATATAACTTTTAAAATAGCCATGATAGCATGATAAAAGTATCAGAGGACATCACGACCTCAAGAAGTTTGAAAAGTAAGTTTTCAATAATTAAATCCTGTCGCGGCATGTCCACACAAATGAGCTATTCAAGCAAAGGAGACAACTGCAGCTCAAACTGACTATACCTATAAAAATTGACGAAATCATTTTCCCGTATTTCACTGTTTCCTCGTTCAAAACTGGACCACTTTAATTTTTTTTCAAATCCTCTTTGAAAAATAATTCCTTCCTTTGAAGGTATTGGGCCATTTCCGTATGCTTTTCTTATTTTATGTTCGTTAAATTTGTTTCCCGGATGTCTTATAACTGACACTGGGCAATTTTTGTAATTTTAAAAGGTTCCTTGTTTACAAAATAATAAATTTATAGGTTATAAAGTAATTTTTTTCCAATGCTATTATCCTGGATAAATAGAGGACTAAGTTTGTATGAGCTAAACGCCTCCGAGTATTCTCCTTCTTTACGTTATCTCAGGAAAAGTAAGCTCTAACAAGCCTCAAACATGTGGATTCACCTGTTTCATCATTGATTTTAATTCTTTCTAACCTATTAAATGTCCGCTGCTGAACATAGATCTCCCCTATAGGTTGCTTCATAGGGGCGATGTTTACCATAGTTGATATACTTGACAAGTGGGTTGGCAACCACAGTTTTTTATTCTGAGTTGTTTTCAGAAAGACACTGCTGTCCATCTCCTGTTTCATTTTCTATAGTCCCCTCTTACGACGTCCACGAGTGATAAATTATCTTAACAATGCAACCAGCTGAGCTCTATATATACAAGTACGCTGGACTGGCTTTACCATACAAAATAATATGCCGATTTCAAGCGCCCTCATTGTCCGTACCGGGAACTAAAATTAACATAATATGCTAGTTTGATGTATTGTATTAATGAAATCGTATTGTAATCGTATTTTGAACATTTAAACTAAAAAAATGAAAGTATTTTATATGGTTTGATTATGTTTGATTTTAGTTGCATAATAAGATTTATTTTTAGTTATAGTGAGAGTGTGCTTAATATGTAAAACTCTTTACCAAAAGGAAAGTGGTATAACATCTAATCTTAATCTTAATACCTTAATTACCAACAAGATTGGCTTTATATTACTGAGTCTTGATAAACAATAAAATTCAATAGGGTTGTCGATTTCCTTGTCTATAATACTTATCAATGTTCTTTTCTGCACATATCTGTTCACAACCAAAGTCACCGACAACAGATATTTATTAAATGTTTATTAATTAACAGGTTTCCAACTGAACTTTGACTAAAATTATGGCTAAAAAGCACAAAAATTGTGAATTGGCGTCCGAAACAAAATGATTATCTTTGTTCTAAACA